TTCCTGGTGCACTTTAGCATCTTGAGAAGTCGGAAGGTCATCTGGGAGGCCCTGGAAACCGTCCCTTGAGTGTCCTCGGCACGTTCCGAGCGACGCTGACCTGGAAAGGGAAGTCCATTGTGAAGCGGGTGTATATCTCACTTTCTGAAGACCGGGCACTCTTTGGGTTTCCTTCCATCCAGAAGCTTAGCGTCGTAAAGTCCATCGATGCCCTCTGCAGTCGTGACCAATGGACACCACTTCAGGATGACATCTTTGATTGCTTGGAAGAAGTTAAGGACGAGTACATGATTCGCCTCCAGCCACGTACACAGCCGTTCTCCCTGGGTGTCCCTCGGCGTGTACTAATACCTCTTCATCACATCTTCTGCAGGAAACTGGACAAGCTTGAAGCCGATGGTGTTATTCGGAAAGTCAATGATTTAACGGACTGGTGCTCAGGCATCGTCATCTCGAAGTCCGCAGGGGGCTACCACATTTGCGCCAAACTACCTGAACTAGGTAGTTTGGCGAGAGCGTCACGTGCTGCCATTGGTGGAGCACATCCTAAGACGCCCGGGGTGTGCCCTCAACTTTTCCAAGCTTGATACCACGGCCACCTTTCACCAGGTCAAGCTCTCTGCAGATAGCCAGCTCCTCTCAACTTTCATAACACCCTTTCAACAGTACTGCTTCTGTTGCTTGCCCTTTGGGATTTGCTCCACTCCAGGGTATTTGCAGTACCAGACGAGAAGGATTCTTGAAAGCCTGGATGGTGTCCTCCACACTATCAACGATATCCTCATCTTTGGATGCACGCAAGAGGAGCATGACCACCACCTGAAGATCAGTCTCAGCAGAGCCGGCGTCAAGCTGAACCGAGCCAAGTGTGTCAGCGCCGAAGGTCAAGATCTTTGGAGTCACAGTCGGTGCCAACGGCATCAGCACCCATCCCGACAAGCTCAAGGCTCTGGTGAACTTGGAGGCTCCAGTGGACGTGGCAGCGTTTGGAGGCTGCTGGGAATGGCTAACCATGTAGGCCGTTTTCTTTCCCATCTGTTTGACTTGACTGCACTGATCCGAGCCCTCCTTCAAAAGAACAGTGCCTGGTGCTGATGCCCAGTCAGCAGATGGCCTTTGAACGACCGAAGGGCATGCTGAGGTCCGAAGTTTGTATGGCCAAGTACGACCCCTCCTGCCCCACCACGGTGTCTGCTGGGAGCCATCTTGCAGCAGGACCAATTGTCAGGAGAGCGTTGTGCAGTCGTTTATGCTTCATGGTTTCTCACACCAACAGAGATTCAGTACACTCAGACTGGAAAGAAAGCACTGGCTGTCACGTGGGCCATCGAGCTCTTCGACCAGTTTGAGGCATCGGGTTCGACGTTGAGACCGATCACAAACCCCTCGTCGCGCCGCTGGGTTCTGTGGAACTGGACACAATTCCTCCTCATGTCCAACGATTGAGGATACGTCTGATGTCCTACCAGTAAAGGGTTCTGTACGTGCCCGGGAAGCTTCTGGCAAGAGTGGACACTTTCCCGAGCTGCTATGAAGGCCACCGAGAACCAAATCGACACAGTTTAGCTGTTGCTCAAGGACGTTGAAGGTCTCGCGACCTCATCTTCATCGTCTTCGCAGGCACCAAGCCGAAGACGGAGTCTGTGCTGGCTTGCCCAGGTTCTCCGAGGGCGGCTGGCCAAAAAAGGTGTCCAATGTTCCTGTACTTCAAGCCTACTAGAGGGAACGAAGCAGCATCACAGCATTCCATGGGCTGCTGCTGAAGGACTGTCGTATCCTGGTTCCCAAGTCTCTTCAAAGGGAGCTGCACCAACTCCCCCACGAAGGTCACCAAGACATTGGGCGATGTAAAGCAAGGGCTCGCGACTCAGTCTGGTTGCCCGCCATAAAGAGCGAGTTAGTGTGATGTTTTCCGAGTCCAGGAACCGAGTTATATGAAGACAACAGCAGGTCCAGTGTGATGCGGAAGCAGTGTTCTACAAACGCGGGCCAAATCGTTCCTGGTTCGTGTCTGCTGCTGCAGAGAGCGCGTGAGGGGCCGGCACGCAAAACGCGCTGGGCTCGCGCTTCTAACATTCTAGCATTATCGGCTGTCGGGTTTGTGCGAGGGCCAATAATCATGATGTTGATTATGGCTGCGCCCAAGCGCCACCTAGACACTGTCACACTCCTCCCCCTCTGCACGCACCAGCTGATGTTCTGCCGATGTTCATAGTGAGAAACGCACTACGGGTTTTTTTAGTCTTGTGCTTCTCCTTGGTAGTGGGGTGCTAGGGGCAGCCATGCCTTGAGATGTAGCTTGGGCAGGAGCGGCCAAGGCAGTCTGTGAGTCCACCACAGGAGACCCTTGAATCAGTGCAGCCTCGACAGGGGAAGTGGCTTGATGTGCTGGTTGTGTTGATGCTGCGGTTAGAGCAAGATCAGGATATTGACATTCCTGGTGATCTGGTGTTTTAGTGACTTGAGCGAGATCCGGACGCAGGTGTTCTTGGTGACGCCTCCAACACCGGCCATCTGGTAATGTCACATCTATGATCTGGTCGCTCGGCGTCTCGATTGCCGTTGCCGGGACCCATGGCGGACCCGGACGAAAGTTGCGCGCATAAACTGCATCTCGTATCTGGGCAGGCGGTACCAGCCGAGCGCTCCTGCCATGCGCCATCTTCTGCCTAAGCTGCCTTTTTGACACTGATGACCTCATGTCTGGATGCAGCAACGTCAGCGCTGTCTTCAACCTGCGTCCCATAAGCAGTTCTGCTAGTGTAGATCCTGTGGTTTCGTGCGGTGTAGTCCTGTAATTCAACAAGATGCGGGCCAGCTGACAGGTGAAGTTACCGCTAGCGGCTTTCTTCAACTTGGACTTAATGGTCTGGACTGCACGCTCCACAGATTCATTCAATGCTGGGTGATAGGGCGGCATTAGAACGTGCCTTATGCCGTTCTTTTGGAGGAAGTTCCTAAAAGTGCCGCTGACAAATGCTGGCCCGTTGTCGGATACGATAAGGTTCGGCAGCCCGTGACTTGCGAACGTGAGTCGTAAGCAAGGAATTGTGGCTTCTGCTGACGGCATAGACAGTGGAACGACCTCGATCCATTTCGAGTAGGCATCGACCACGATAAGCAAGTACTGGTTAAGTGGTCCTGCGAAGTCGATATGCAGCCGAGACCAAGGCTTCTCTAGAAACGGCCATGGCATCATTGGTACTGGCCGCGCAATACGTTGGTTCTCTTGGCATACACGGCATCCTCGTACTGTCGCAGTAATATCGTCATCCAAAGATGTCCACCAGACATGGCTACGTGCCACGGCCTTCATTTTAGTGATACCTGGGTGGCCTTCATGCAGGAGTCGCAGCACATCTCGTTGCAAAACTCTGGGAAGGATTACCCTCGACCCCAAGAGTATGCAACTTTCTTGTACATTCAGGTGAGTTGCTCGGCCTGCGTATGGTTTCAACTCTGGGTCGTGCAGCTCAGCCCCAGACCACAACGCATCTCAAAGCTTCGCCAAGGTCGGGTCCTTTGAGGTAGCCTCGGCCACAACAGACGCAAGTAACACCTTGGGATAGACGTTCTCAAGCATGAGCACCTCGTCTGGCCGCTAGATGGGGTGCGCAGGGACAGGCAGTGGCAAACGGCTGAGAGCGTCTGCGTTCGCTATTCTTGTACCAGGCCTATATAGCAGCTTGTAGCGGTATGCAGACAGCATCAGCGCCCAACGCAGGACACGCGGCGAACAGGTCTCGGCCACAGGCTTGTCCGCAGCAAGCAGTCCCAGCAAAGGCTTGTGATCTGTGACAGCTTCAAAGTCACGTCCCCAGAGGTATTGCCGAAATTTGGTCATGCCAAAGATGAGGGCCAGGGCTTCCTTATCGAGCTGGCTGTAGTTGTGCCCAGCTGGTGAGAGAGTTCGAGAAGCAAACGGAATCGGCCGCTCAGCGCCTGAATCTTCACGATGAGCTAGGACAGCCCCAATTCCGTATGGTGGTGCATCACAGATCAGCACAACAGTTTGCTTTGTGTCATAATGCACCAGCACCAGGGCAGAGAGCGGCAACTCCTTGCTCTTACGGAAAGCTTCTTCTTGCTCAGCACCCCAAGACCATGGCATCTTTGTCGCCAGGAGGCGATTCAATGGGTGCAGCACACTGGACAAGTTTGGCAGGAATCGCCGGTAAAAATTAACTAGTCCCAGGTAGCTTTGCAATACCTTGACATCCGTTGGCCTCGGTGCTTTCAGGACAGCCTCAGTTTTCTCCGGGTTCGGTTGGAAACCCGCCGAGGTGACGATATGACCCAAATATTCAACTTTGGGAATCAAGAAAGCGCACTTGTCCAGCTTAAGCTTCAGCCCAGCTTCCTGCAGACGACTTAGTACCTTTTCAACGTTCTGCAGGTGATCTTGGTCCTTCTCGCCAGTCACAAGGATGTCGAAATACACGACGACGTGCTTGAGGTCCTGCAACAGGTTGTCCATTTAACGCTGGAAAATCGATGGTGCCGGGGTCACACCGAATGGCAGGCGCGTGTATTGGTAAAGACCGCGAGGAGTATTGATGGTCACCAATTTTGAAGATTCTTCATCCAGCGCAACTTGTAGGTAGGCATCCTTCAAGTCCAGCTTGCTAAACTTCTTGCCCCCACTCAGCTTGGCAAACAGGTCCTTTACCCGAGGAATCGGGTACTTCTCAGGCACAGTCACAGTATTTACCGTCACCTTGAAATCCCCACAAATGCAAATCTGTCCACTCCGCTTCAGGACCGGAACAATAGGCGCGGCCCATTCAGACGTCCTCACAATACGCAGGACTCCCTCCCGTTCCATACGCTGCAGCTCCTCGTTAACCTTGTCGAGCATCACGAACGGGACTGGCCGAGGCTTGAGAAACCTTGGCCTGGCGTCCTCTTTTATAGTTATCCTTGCAGTCACGCCCTTGAACGTTCCGAGGCCATCATTGAAAACACTCGAATACTTAGCGATGACATCTTGAACAGACGTCACCACGTTTATTTCTTTTGCCCCGCGCAACTCAATGCCGAGACCCTTCATCCATCCCCGTCCAAGTAGGGACGGACAGGCACCCGGCACGACGTACAGAATGTCCTGGCACCGGCGGTCTCCAAGCTGTACGGTTGCAGCGAGGCTTCAGCGCACAGGAGATAGTTCACCCGAGTAGCTCTTCAGCATGACGCTTGACCGGTCGAGCCGCAACGGCGGGAATCGTTGGCGAAGTGTTTCTTCCGACACGACGGACACGCTGGCGTCCGTGTCGAGTTCCATCAGTAACGGAGTCCTGTTCACCGAAACTTCCACCCGAAAAGGCTGGCCATCGATTGCAGGGGCCCCCAGTTGCCACATTTCGTAGACCTCCGGCGGCGAGACATCCCTCACGCTTTCGCCCACGGCGTGGACCGATCATTGTGGCCTGGTTGGCGGCGCTCGGTCACCGAAGCTCGCATTCTCCTTGCAAACTCGTGAAAGATGGCCGTTTCCCCGACATTTGTGACAGATGCTACTTGCGTGACGACACTGAGTGGCGAAGTGCTCGCCCCCGCAGCAAAAGCAGGAAATAGCGCCAGTCCTTTGTTTCCATTTCGATGCAGCAGGAGCAGTAGAGGTGGTAGAAGCATCATGTGACATTGCATTTTCAGCCGCAACGCTCGGCAGTTTCGGTGTCGATAGCAGCTGCGAATCCTTCGTCGCTGCTTCCATCGCGATGGCAGTCTTCTTCGCGAGGTCGAGGGTCAGGTCCGGAAGTTCCAAAAGCCGCCGCTGTATCGCCTCATCGCTGATCCCCCGACTATACGGTCTCGGAACCTCCGGTCATGGGACACGCCAAAGTCGTAGTCGTCCGCAAGTTTGTTTAGCCCGGCGAAAAAATCTGCTGCAGCCTCCCCGGCATGACGTACCTGTGAATGAAACTTGAAACTCGCCACGACTTCTGACGGCCTCGGCGAGAAGTGCCTGCCAAGCACTTCAAAGACGGTCACCAGGGTGGCTTCTGACGGCTTAACTAGAGCCAGTAAACTGTGCAGCACTGAATACGTGGCCTGGCCACAACAGGTGAGGAACACGGCTCGCCGTTTGTCCTCGTTGACATCGTTGGCGATGAAGTATTGCTCGACTCGTCCCCGGTACTCCTCCCAGCTAGATTCCGCGTCGAAAGGTTCGAGCTTGCGGACCGATGGCATTCTGGAACAGCCGTACGTGTCGGCGGCAGCAACTTCAGTGCGTAAACATCCTCGTCGCCAGTGTGATGTTTGCCGAGTCCAGGAACCGAGTTATATGAAGACAACAGCAGTCCAGTGTGATGCGGAAGCAGTGTTCTACAAACGCGGGCCAAATCGTTCCTGCTTTGTGTCTGCTTCTGGAGAGAGGGCGTGAGGGGCCGGCACGCAAAACGCGCTGGGCTCGCGCTTCTAACATTCTAGCATTATCGGTCGAGGGTTTGTGCGACGGCCGATAATCATGATGTTGATTATGACTGCGCCCAAGCGCCACCTAGACACTGTCACAGTTGGAACAGGTGGATGGCATTTGTGAGAAGCGAGTCACTTGTGGGAACTCGCACTCCAGACAGTCCGTGGCAGCGAGTTGGTGTGGACCCGTTTGAACTGATGGGATGGAACTATGCCATTATAGTGGACTACTAGCTCTTCCTGGAAGTGGTGAGTCTTATGTTTATGACATCAAGTTCTGTCATTGCTTTCATGAAGAGCCCCTTTGCTCGTTTTGGAATCCCGGACTCTCTGGTATTGAACAATGGTCCATCGCTTTCGTCGGCCGAGTTTGCTTCTTTTGCGGCCACTATGGGTTCACACATCAGACAAGCAGCCCAAGGTACCCCTAAGCAAGCGCGGAAGCAGAGCACATGGTCCGGACGCCCGAGGAGCTTTTTGTCAAGTCGGACGACCCGCACTGGCATTGCCGGTCTATCGTGACATTTCTGGTATGACTGGCTACAACCCCTCGGAACTGCTGGTGGGAAGGTGCCTACAGACTTGGCTTCCAGGGGTCAACAGATCACTTACTCCCAAGTGGCCATTGCCAGAGTTCGTCAGACTCCGAGACATGGAAATGCGAAGTCTTCAAAGAAAGGACTTCAACCTTCGTCAAGCGGCCCGGTCACCGCGGTCTGTAGAAGCAGGCACGGACGTTTGGGTCCAGGACATTTTGTGCGCGGCAAAAGTACTCAGCCAGGCACAGCCACCCCCTCCCCCATTCCTACGTCGTCGAAACGCCAAGGGGAATGGTGCAACAACCGCAAGCATCTGGTATCATTCACTTTCAGTCGGCTGAGCGATCCAGTTCCATGACTGCCAGCCATACCCGGTCAGTGAAGCCCCATAGCTGAGTGGCAAGCCAATGCTCCAACTCGTGACTCGTCGGACGTGCCTAGCACCTCTGGGACAAGTGCTCCTTAAAGGGCAACTCCGCTTCATTTTTGATATTTAGAAAACTATGTAGCCCTCTTCAGTATCATATAGGAAGACCCCACGTCAATTATTACGATCTAATTCCGTTTATTTATTTAATAAACTGGCCGGCAAACCTTCAAGCGAGCCAAGTCGCCGAAATCTGCCAACTCTAGCGTGCGGCGCGAGGCGCAATCATCAGCGCAGTCAATGCCACGGAGTTGGAGCGGCCAACGTTGAGCCACTACGTCAGAGGCATGTACGTCATTCTCACGTTTTGCTTGTTTTTATTTCTCAGAGCGAAATGCAACGATGGCGTCATGAGTTTCTCCTCCCGGTGTTGGCTGACCGGGCGTTCACGTGATCACCGTAACACGGATGCGCTACTTTGCGCTGCCCTGCGCGCTTATCGGTCTGTTTCTCCGCTCCACTTCTCTTTCGTCTTTTCCCTTCCCCCTCTCACCCAGGCCATCACCGTCCACGCCACGCGAAGCGACCTTCCCGCGTCCAATTAAAAAAAAAAAAAAAAAAAAAACCTGCCCGCGTCGCGTGTCCTGTTTCTCGCTCCCTCCCGAACGTCACAAGACCACGTGGTTCGACGTGACGCGCATGCCTTTGACGACCCAAGACCGATGTTGCCTGACGCAACCGAAGTTTCGGTTTCGGTATCTGCTGACGTTTAAATTAGGATTACACAAATAATATTCCACATTTCGCGAATCCGAAGACGTAGAGTTGTTTAGTAGTGCTTTGTGAATGTGAATCACATGGAAGCCTAAATTTTTCGGAATTGAGCGGAGTTGCCCTTTAAGGTGTTTGGGTCACCTGTTACTAGCGGCAGGTGAAGCCACCAAAGAGATTGAATTTATGAGCTCGAGGTTAGGCTGCAGACGACCCCTCGAGCTCAAAAGGGGGATGTAGTGGTGTGCCCATCAAACAAATGGCACCGCTGTTCTACACGACGGTGTTTTTGTTTTCTCGCGAGCATGCAGGGAATAAAATCACTTTTTGGTTCAGCAGTCACCTGGTGTGCACCTGTCTTTCTTCCCCCCTTGGCTGCTGTCGTCAGTGTTGCCATTGGTGGCTACTTTGCACCAAATTGGCTACTTTTGAGCACGGTCTGGCAACAAAAATTTTAAGTTTCTTCTTGACCGTTTAGAGCGCAGCTCTTAGGCGCCCGTACCCGGCTTGAGCGGCGTCGGCGTCGGTGTAACCGCGCGGTGCATTATGGGACGTGTGATGTCACTGATGTCATCGACATCGTCACTGATGACGTTATCGGTGACGTCACTGATGAAGTCGTCGTGTTCGTCACTGATGACATCACCAGTGACGTCACTGATGACGTCATCAATGACGTTATTGATTACGTCATCGGCATCCGCATCGTCATCCACATCGTCATCGTCACTGATGACGTCACTAGTGATGATGACGTCACTGGTGGCGTCACTGATGACGTTTTTGTCACGTGACCTCAAAGGGGTCACGTGACCCCCGTGAGATCACATGACCCCAGTGACGTCACGTGACCCCCTTGAGGTCACGCCACCCTCGTTACGCGACCTCGCGCCCACTCAGAGGGTGGAGTAGCAGACAGGGTGAGGAGGGAGGAAAGATATACCTTCCCCTCAGTACCCTTCCCCTCCTCCTCCTCAAGAGCTGCACTCTAATTCGGCGTTACAGGGAGTTGTAAACGGCTTTCATTTTTTTGTCTACTTTTAATTTATATTTTGTCAAATTGTTAGTACAAAGAATGTTCATACTCGGGCGGGCAGAAGGAAGACATATACCCCTGTCAGACGGGCTAGTCTAGTGCACTTCAAGCGAGTGCACTTCAACCCGTGGAAACACATTAGAAGCATGTTGCTGCTACACAGAAAAACTTAGTGTCACTCCAAAATGATGGCAATGACTATGGGTAAAGTAAATGGAACGCAAAATGTTAAAGTGCATACACATATTTTCATAAATAATTTCGTCGTCGTATTAAAGACACGTTACCACACATTGTTGTGCTAAGTCACGAGCTTTAGTCCAAATTGAAATTCAATTTGATGGCTATGATGAGCCATTACAAGCCAGGCAAATCCAAAATCTAGACATCACCTTCAATCGCCACAACAAAAAATAAATAAATTGGGGGTGTGTGTAGAACTTAGTAATGCCTCAATGGGTGACTTGTCTCCAAGCTGTAGATGAGAAATTTAGCCAGTGCAGTACAACCGTTAGCCTGGGGTTTTTAACGTGAACCGCGCAGTAGTGATACACGACCGCACGCCGGTACGATACTCATCCATAACGAAATAGGCAGGTGTGTGGATCTAACCCAGGGGATTCCTGGGTGGACCCTGGGTTCTGCAACGCGAGCTTTCGCTCCGCGTGCTCCGAGCTGGTGTGCACGAGCCCACTCTTCACTCGCCACAAGGAAACATCATGGAATGGAGGACGAGCTGGAGAGCGATATCCACGATGTTGGACAGTGGAAGCGCGTGGTGGGGGCACTTTTTTCGTGAGAGCCTGACGCCTTTCAGGTGAGAGGCAACTGGAGATGAATGCCAACACACAGACAAGAATTTCGAGTGACATCGATCAGCAGCTGCAGGCCAATGCCTTCACCACAGCCGCTCTCTTGACCGACAGCCTACCCGTGATCAGTCGAGAACGGTGGACTTTCCAGAGGAACGAACGGTGGCTCGAAGACACCTTGCCCCGTTTGGGCGAGTTCCATTTCAAGCAAGCCTTTCGCGTCTCTCCTGCCACCTTCAAATTCCTAGTGGAGCCTTGTCGGTGCCTCCTGGTCGTTGCTGGCCGTCGTGAAGGGCCAAGGCTGGAAACTAGATTAGCCGCTTGTTTTCCTGCAATGCACTACTTTCTTGCCAACAGAAAACACATGCGCATCTAATGTTACTCCTATCGAAATGATACTAATTTTACGCAGCGTTAGTTTCTTCTATTATGTTTACTCCTTGAGCACTGCTATCGAGATTACACACTCGGTCTACCGGAGCGAGCGTAGTGTGCTCCCCGAACTCACTTCATCGGAAGTGTGTTCTTCGGGCAGGGCTGGGGATGGAACTCAGGATCACTGGGTTCTGCAGCGCGAGTTTTCTCTCCACATATTCCTATGTTGTGTGAGCTAGCCCACTCGGCTACCGATGCCCCTTAATAAAGACATTAAAAAATGACACGTTTACAATTCTCTGTAGTGCCGCATTGGAGCGCAGTTCTTAAGAAGGAGGAGGGGGGGAGGGTATACCCCCAGCTGCTTCCCCTCCGTACCCTCCCATTTTCCTCTCTTCCCCTCCCACTTAGCGAAACATTTTAGCTTAATTTCTTGCTAAATTTAGCGGGGAAATTTTCTCGCTAAATTGATGTGTGATGTCACTTGACATGTTACGTGAAATTTAATGTGTGACGTCACGTGACATCACACGTGGCGTCACGAGAATAGATTTTCCCGCTAGATTTAGTGGGAAAATTTCCCGCCAAACTGTGCGAAAACCTTTCCCGCCAAATTTAGCGGGAAAATTTTACCCTCGTGATGTCACGTGGGACGTCATTTTGGGAAACATACCACGATGCAACGCGCGGTTACGCCGACGCCGCTGAACCCGGAAACGGGCGCCTAGGAGCTGCACTCTAAAAAAAAAACGTTACATTAATGAACGATTTTTACGCCAATTGGAAGATTCTGATCGATCATCGCCAGCCAATATAAAGAAAGAAGCATATCCAACTTTGGCGTTCCACTTCGACCCACGGAAGTCTACGAGGACGCCCTGACACTGCCTAATTAGATCATAATTATCGTGTTGTCTCGAATAGTTACATGCTGAAACAAAAGTAAGATCTATCTTTCTCTGCTAACCAAGATAGCCTTGGAACGACTGACTTCGTCGTCGTCTTTTATCAATTCACCGCGGCGCTAATTTGGTACAGATGCAGATCAACCTAAACTCCAAGTCCACTCCGCTTTTTTTTTGCAATGCCACTTTTCTGTATGTTCTCTCTTTTACGAATTTCCTATTCATTATAAAATAAAATTTACGCCACGTTTTTGGTTTCTGTGTTATGTTTAACTTTTGAAACACTCCTATCGATGCCACGCATTCGATCTAGTGAATCGAGTTCGTCAAACTTACTCGAAACCAAGTGTGTTCCTCAGAAAGAAGCCGTGTGGCACACTACAGAAATGACACTAAAGGCGAAGTGCACTTGGTTGAAGTGCACTATATTAGCCCGTCTGACAGGGGTCATAATTTCTGACATTACAAATACCTTTAAAAGAAAATTATGAAAAATACGCGGCACGTTCTGGTCATCATGATACTGAAAGAGCGGTCAATTACAAGTCCACAAACATAATATAAACGGAAGCAACAGCTGCATTAGAATCAGTATTTTTTGGAAAACTTAGTTGTTTGCTTTTGTTTTCAACAATGATACGCGGTATCATTTCTAGGCATTACTACGGGCTTTAAAAATGATTACAAAAAAACTTGACACTTCCTGGCTATCACGATACTGAGCGGCTGCTTACAGGAGCGTTTCTGGAGTGTGCCCTTTTCCATGTCTCGCAGAAGGTGCGCTGAGACTCCTGTCGCTTCCAGTGTTGAATGCGAATTCTGAACACGTGTTTTCGAAAGTTTCACTAACAAAAACTCAACTGCGAAACAAGATGAAGCTGGACGTTTTTGTGGCGATTCTGAGACTAAAGTTCGGGCTGTGCCTGCAAAAGAGAACAGCCTCCACATTTGACGTTCCAATCGAGCTTCTTAAAACTTACCCTCAATTACTCTAAACGTGGCAGCATTTATTTCCGTTGATTAAGGCTGCACGTAACCTCATTTTATAACTTCGTATGACAATTCTTTTTTTAGAAAAAAATCGTGGCGACATTTTTGGCGCCAAGACAAATAAAAGGCTCCTTTTGGCTACTTTTGATCTGCGTTTTGGCTATTTTCACGAACTGCCCAACGGCAACACTGTCGCAATACGACAGCCTGTCGTATTGCGGCCGCCTGGTCGCGACAGTGCCCAGCGAGCCAACCTTTCCGCCTGCTCCTTAAGCCTCTGAATTCTGGTTATCACCACGTGGTCTTTTTGAATGTCAAGTCATACCATCAATATAAAGGTTGAATTTCTTTAGCACTAATATGACGGCCAACTCCTTTTCTTTTAGTCAACACTTGGCTCAGTGCCCAATTGCTGTGAAACCAGATCCAACATTGCTATCATGGCACGCACAAGCTCAACCGCATCTCTGCCACCTGCCATCGGAGCTGGGGGCAAAGCCCCAGCCTCCGATAGCAGTTGTGGGCCGGTGCTCCCATCCGCAGGGACATCTTTGCCAACATTCGATCCTCGCCCCCTCAGAAGAACTGCCCTTAGTCGCGCCGCCTTTGGATCTTGTTTCAGTGGGCATTGTTTACTCGCGACCATGTACGCGTACGCCTGGAGGACTCGACGTAAACAGTTTCTCCAAGAACGAGAATTTGTGAGGTGTGCGACTCCTGGGGTGATCTAAAGCAATGGCTGATTATCGGGCTCCACGTTGGGCGCCAAACTACTGTGCAATCGTTCTACCTTCTACTATGCCCGATCCCATCGAGAAACACTTGAGTCGTTTCCAAGGAAGTCGCACAACACAGCAAGTGCAATCAAACAGTTTACTCGCGTTCCATTGCCCAAATTTCCATTCTCTGGTGGTGGCTGCAGTTGAACAGCTCCCTCCATGAATCAATACCCTTTACTAAAGACTATGAGTAGACTACTCAGGACCTCCGATGAAGCACCCCGATAGACCCCATGGAGGGTATTCCTCAAAGACTTCTAAATCCAGACTGTCAAATCAACTCTGAAATGAAGACTTCCAAATGAAGCCTCACAGGGTGCACTTGTGTTAGTAGGTGTTTGGTGTGTGGAGTCACCACGGATCCCGAACCATGCGGGTTCGCCCGCCCACATCTGGCTCTGCGTGGCTTTCCCATGTCCGGGGATTAGAGCATTCTGATGGTTGAGCTGAGCCCGGAATAGGTTTGAACTCTTCAGGGCCCTCCGGGTGAGGCAATGCACCATTTCAGCCCCCGCTTCTCGTAGATGGGTGTCCTGGCTTGGCCTGACCAGCATGATTTAGTCAGTTGCCTTTCTTTTAAATTTTAACTTTCTTTCTTTCCTATTTCCCCTTTTTCGTGACAAGGGCTGACCTTGGGTAGCGACAGAACTTTCTTTTAATTCACACTTGGTTGTAGCATCCTGGTAGCACTAATAGAGTAACATAACCAGACAAGCCAGACCTGTTACAAGTTGTTACCTATCCTACTGATGCCGAAGTCCTTTCCATTTCTTATGGGTCCTAAATTAAACACAAAACCTGATCGGGCTCTGAAAAAAGTTCGGACAGAAGTACAGGTTACAGAAACGTGTGTACCTGTGGAGAAGTTTCCTCGATTTCTCGTGGTGCACTCTGAAACCGAAGAAACCGTTGTCATAGCTACTTTTCCTTCCTGGTTTCTAAGACGTGTAACTAATCGGGAAGCATTTTAAAGTTTAAAAAAGCCATCTGGAGACCTCATTGAAGTCACAACCTCTTGGCAAAGCTCAGACCTGCTGGCAGTCAACTTGGTTTCTGGGTACAAGGTTACTGTATTGCCACACCGCACTCTGCATTATGTTAAAGGCGTAATATCTGAAGGCGACCTTGAATTTTCCGAAAATGAAATCGTAGATTGCCTTCATGACCAAAAAGTCATTGGTGCAACATAAATTTATTTTTGTTGTGATGGTGACGAGATGAAGACAAACTGTGTCATTCTGACTTTTGAGCTGTGGATGCTTGCAGAATCAGTCAAGGCAGGTTATGTCAAATGTAGAGTACGACCGTATGTGCCATATTCTCAACGTTGCTTTCATTGCCAGAGGTATGGCCATGGCGCCCAGAGCTGACGTGGAAAAGACTGTGTGCCAAGTGTGGCAAAACTGATGACCCAGCAGAAAATTGCTCAAAATCACCTTGCTGCATCAACTGCAATGAACCTCACCCAGCTTATTCTCGGTCTTCCAGGAAATCGAAAGAAGAAAAAGAAATAAGACTCAAGGAAAAGGAGAATATCCCGTTTCTTGAAGCCAAGAAGCGATCCTTTCTTCAGAACGGGTCTTACTCCAGTGGCACGTGCAGGGGGCGGGTCATCAAAGTCTTCGGTAGGAACCCAGGTCTGTCCTAAACACTAGGAAATTCCACCACCACCCCCTGCCTCACAAAAATTAGCTCCGCAACTCCATTGGTTGCTGGAATCAAAGGAACCACAGGGTCCTCCAGATGGTACAGAGGCAAGGTATGCCTCTGTGGCAGCAGAGGAGAAACAAAAGGAGAGGCGGCAACACCAGCTTCAGTGTTTCCTCAATTTCAAAAGACTGGCCATCGAACCATGTGCTTGCCTTGGTTACTCGGACCCCTCCCAGGAGGAAGGGGGGTTTGTCTCGTTTTAAGATTTTAAGGGAAGCCTCACCATCTAAGGAGGTGCATGTACCAGTTGCTCCCTCTGCCATTCAGCCTGAAGAGCGGATGGAACTGAGAACTTTCTCTTCTCGTTCGGTGTCTCCTGATGACGCCAGGCTTAAAAAGTCATCTCGGAAAAAGCTCGATCCGCGAGTAACCTCACCCATCCTGCCGCAGGGCAGCTAGGGCAGGTCTTTTTGTTGTTACTTTATAGTATCTTTAACATGAGTAAGTATAGTTTTATGCAGTGGAACTGTAGAAGCCTGCAAAATATTGATGACATTAATTTCTTTCTGGATGAGCTTCAGCCCATTGCTGTGTGCTTTGCAAGAGACATGTCTGAACAACACAAACAAATGTGTTAAATCACCGCGTTTTTAGGAAGGATCATGATTCAGACTATTATTTTGGTGTTGTTGCCATTGTACAGAGTGGCATAATGTGTGTAAAAGTATCTCTGTGTACATCACTGGAAGCAGTTGCAAAATGTGCTCTTGCAGATCGCCTCATTACGCTTGTGTCCTTGTATTTACCACCTCATCGTCAACTATATCTTTATGAACTTCAAGGATTGGTTCAGCAACTTCCAAAGCCTTTTTTAGTTTGTTGTGATTGTAATGCTCACAGTCCCATGTGGGGCAGTAAGCGTCTTGACTCTCGTGACACTCTTGAAGAAAGTTCTTTTTACTGTCATCAGATGTATGACTTTTGACTACGAAAGAACCAACGTTTTATGGTTCCACTCATAATTGCTTCGTATTTGTCGACCGCTTCATTTAAAATAATGATGGTGATCATCATTATTTTCTTGTTTTTCTTGGAAGGTTTTAAACGACCCTTATGGAGCGATTACTTTCCCTGTTGTAATTCAAAGCCTCATTCCTCTGCCAAATAATTTAAAACGAGCACCGAGGTTGAAATTGGACAAAGCCGACTGCGCACTCTTCAAACTCAATGCTGTGTTTGACCTGTCAGTTCTGTAGTGTCTACTGTAGTGAAATCTAGCCATAAATCTGGCTTGGTCTGGCAACTGTGAGACTCTCCAAGATGGCTACCAACTAACGAATAAACGCCAGTACGTTGGTCTTCGAATCCAAGGGAATCCTTCCCTTTTTCTACGCCTCCAACATTACAAGGGCGACGAGGATGCGTTAGAACAACGCAAGAACCGCCCAGCAGCAATTTTGAACCGCACGGACCCCTCCACACCCAACAACGGACGTCTTGTTTGACGGGATGGAGCACAGCATGCTCCCCACGTTTTCCTTCTTCGACGTGCGTGCCACTGACGCCAATAACGTCGGCACCGAGTGGTTGAAGTGGGTGAGACGCTTCGAGAACTTCGTAGTGGCCTGCGGAATCACAAGCGACGCCCGTAAGACCGCTTTGCTGCTACACTACATCGAGGAGGAAGTCCACGACATCTACTGTGTGCTTCCCGAACCTCCTGCGACCGCACCTGCGGCAACAGCGTCAGCTGTCTTAAGCACCGCTGGCGAAAGCCCGCTCCACACCGCAGCACGCAAGAAGCTGGACGCCTACTTCGCTCCAAGGGTCAACACAACCTTCGAGGTCTACCATTTCCGGCAAGCCAGGCAAGTGGAAGGAGAGCCCCTTGACTCATTTTACGCCAAACTACGACAGCTAGTGCGACACTGCGCCTTCGCCGATCCAGACACGGAAATCAAAAATCAGATCCTGCTGTCTACAACATCGTCACGCCTTCGCCGCTATGCCATGCAGCATGACCTCGATTTGGAGGGAATCCTCAAACAGGGCAGGCTATTTGAGGAAGTGGAGCACAACGTCACCTTGATGGAACAAGGAAGCCAGCAGCAGCCCAGCGAGAACACAGTGGCAGCGATAGCAGCGAACGCCAAGCTGTCTTCGCACCACCACCCGTCCAAGCGCCACCAGAAAACCTCATCACAGCCTCGTGAGAATTCACGTCGTCAACACCCGGACGCATCATGCTACAACTGTGGAGGATCATGGCCGCACAATGGTGGTCGATCCAGCTGCCCAGCCAGAGGCAAGTCCTGCAGGTCATGCCAGAAGGTTGGCCACTTCTCCAAAGTATGTCGGTCGGCTCCAGTCACTGTCCGTGCTATACGGAAGAACGCTGGCTCGGACAGCGACGGGTACACTTTCGCAACTGACACTTCATGCGACATCTCGAGGTCACCGCGAGTGATCGTGGAAGTGAACGGTACGCCAGTAGAATTCACCCTCGATACAGGAGCTACTGTGTCCACCGTGGGATCAAGTGACCTGTGGAAACTCAGGCTCCGCCACAGCTTGGAGCAAACAGGTGTAAAACGTTTCGCATATGGTGCAACGTCCCCACTGCCAGTGCTTGGCAAACTGTCCGTGACCATGAAATACAAAGCTCAGGAAGGCACAGACGAAATCTTCGTTATCAACGGTGACCATCCAGCCCTTCTGAGTTTTTATGCAGCCTCACGTCTGGGTTTAGTCCAGATCACCTACAACGTCGAAGACACCCTGATAGAAAACAATATTCAGCAACAGTACCCCCAACTTTTCACGGGAGTTGGATGCCTTCGAGACCAACAGGTACGCTTGCATGTGGATGACAGTGTGCCACCAGTCGCACAACCACACCGTCGCATCCCTTTTGCCATGAGAAAACCACTAGAGGCAGAGCTGAGTAGACTGCTAGCGCTCGACATCATTGAGGAGACTGAAGGGCCAACACCGTGGGTGTCTCCGGTTGTTCTAGTGCCCTAGCCACACGACCAGGCTTTGCGGATGTGCGTAGACATGCGATGCGCCAACAAGGCGGTCTGCCGCGAGCGGCACGTCACGCCAACAGTTGACGACATCCTCACAGCACTCAATGAAGCAACGGTGTTCTCCAAACTCGACCTCAAGGAAGGGTACCACCAGCTAGAGTTGCACGAAGACTCCCGGCCAATAACAACTTTCTCGACACACGCCGGACTCTTCAGGTACAAACGTCTGAACTTTGGTATCAACTCAGCAGCAGAAGTATTTCAAAACACCATACGACAAGTCCTCGGCGGCATTCCCAACGTGCTTAACGTCAGTGATGATATCCTGGTTTATGGCACGACCAAGGAAGACCACGACAAAGCCCTTGAGGCAACGTTGGAACGTCTGAGCAAGGGTGGGCTCACGCTAAATCCCAAGAAGTGTAGCTTCTTTCAAAAGCAGCTCACTTTTTTTGGACACGTCTTGAGTGCTGGAGTACAACCAGATCCGATGAAGGTGTCGGCTCTCCAGAACGCTGTTCCACCAACAAGTGCCAATGAAGTCCGGAGTCTCCTAGGGATGTTCAACTACTGCGGACGTTTCCTACCCAACCTCGCAAACCTGACTCAACCGTTGCGCCAGCTGACCATCAAAGGAACTCCATGGACTTGGACCAGCGTTGAACAAAGAGCATTCGACGAGCTCAAAGGCATGCTCTCGAACTCTACTACTCTAGCCTATTTCGACCCCGAGAAGAGCACATATCTCATCGTTGATGCTGCACCACATGGTCTCGGTGCAATTCTCGCCCAGTCCTCCGCAGCTGGAACTAAGGTGGTTGCTTACGGAAGCCGAGCCTTGACGGCTGTGGAAGCGCGGTACTCTCAGATAGAACGAGAGATGTTGGCTGTGGTCTGGGGTATGGAGCACTTCCAGATCTACTTGTTCGGCACCAGCTTTCGAGTGCTCACCGATCACAAACCGCTCGTCAACATCCTGTCTAACCCACGTTCTTCTCCGTCAGCGAGGATGGAACGTCTGGCACTTCGACTTCAGCCATACAGCTTCGACGTCGCACACACCAAGGGGTCAACTAATCCCAGCGATTACTTGTCTCGACATCCACCACAGACCCCACCAGACAAGAGGGACAAGCTTCGCACCCTTGTAAAGATGTAAGAAGCCTACGTGGCCTGCATGATACAGCACAGCTTACCATGTGCCATGACCTTGGAAAATGTCTTAAAGGAAACCAAGGCAGACCCCCAGCTGACCAAGGTGACCAAAGCCTTGCAACTGCCGCAACTCGACAAAAATGCCTGGAAGGATGAACTCCGTCCATTTTCCCGAGTAATGAGTGAACTTAGTATGTCCAGAGAAGGACTGATGGTGCGAGGGACGCGGATCGTGTTACCTGCCAACCTACAGCACAAGGCAGTCCACCTTGCACACAAGGGGCACCAAGGAATCGTCAAAACGAAGCAACTGCTGCGAAGCAAAGTCTGGTTTCCTGGGATAGACAAGCTTGTGGACAGTATTGAGAAGAGCTGCATTGCCTGCCAGGCGGCAACACCTGAACACCACCGTGATCCACTGCCTGCGTCCAAACTACCAGAGTGTCCTTGAACTGAGTTGTCTCTAGACTTCGCTGGACCATCTCCTGATGGCAAGTATGCCATGGTCCTCATCGACGACCACTCAAAATACCCAGTAGTAAGCATTCTGCGAACAGTTGCCGCAGCAGTTGTCATCAGCAAACTACGTACCATTTTCGCCCAGTTCGGCATTCCAACGGTGCTGAAGACTGACAATGGTCCTCCATTTCACAGCGGAGACTTCTCAAGATTCGCTGAAGAATTCGGATTCAAACACCACCGTGTCACGCCACTTTGGCCCAAGGCAAACGGTGAGGCAGAGAGATTTATGAGAACGCTCAACAAGCTAGTCTTGGCAAGCAGAATTGGTGGCAAGGACTGGACGGAAGAGCTACAATCCTTCTTGCTAGCCTACCGCTCCACCCCACATGGCTCTATAGGAACTTCACCGTTCGAGCTCCTCTTCAAGCGCACAGTGCGTAACCTACTTCCGGTAATCCCCGACCCAGACAACAGTAGCCCTACTCACATCAACTCACAAAGAAACGACGAATCCCGGAAAAGATACAACAAAGAATATGCTGATGCACGGCGACACACTCAACATCACAAGTTTGTTCCTGGTAATCTTGTAATCTGCAGACAGGAGAGGCGTTACAAGTTCACCCCGTTCTACGACCCCAAGCCCTACACAGTCATTAAGGTTCATGGATCTCGTGTCAAGGCTTCTCGCAATGGGAGAGTCACAACGCGAAACGCTGCCTTCTTCAAGGATGCATCGCAAGTAACCATCACGCCTGGACGAGAAGAACTGGACATCGAAGATCCAGGGCCCCCTCCATCAAACCCTGGCAGTCGCATCTCCTTAGACCATCGCTCATCTCTGGCCCCATCTGCACCGCCAATGAACCGACCAAACAGTGCCGGGCGCCGTTATCCGACAAGAGTTCGTCGTGCTCCTCGTCATCTTTCGGACTTTGCAGTGTAGAAAACGTTTCTAACGAAATGTTGATGAGGAATTTTTTTTCAAAGAAACATTGCAAGTTAACGAATGTATCAGAGCAAATTTGATCTTTGAGTCTTATTTTCTCAGGGAGATAGCTGGTGCGAAAGAGAACTCCTCTACCAGTTGGACATTTTCAGCACACTTTTAGTGTTGCAGTCTCGTCAAAACTATTTTCTCAGGGGGATAAATGTAGTGTCTACTGTAGTGAAATCTAGCCATAAATCTGGCTTGGTCTGGCAACTGTGAGACTCTCCAAAATTGCAACCAACTAACGAATAAACGCCAGTACATTGTTCTTTGAATCCAAGGGAATCCTTCAATTTTTCTACATCTCCAACATTACAAGTTCTAGCAAATCTGTCGCCCGAAGAAGCAACAATGTATGTTACTGAACAAATCAAGTGCCGCCCAAGATGTCATACCTCGCACCTATGAAAATTCACCCAAGAGGTGTAGGCCTTGGCGGAATGAAGACTGCTAACCACAAGGTAAAAGCAGTATAGGGCATGGGATTCCTTTCGGAGGTATCCTACTTCAAATAGGACAGGATAGATAGAACTAAAAGCAAAGGCCTGATGGACTAGTAGAAAGGCAACGGTGGTGTCCTGGACCAATTACATTTCCCTCCTAAATAAAATAAGCCGCTTCCCACAGAAAGAAGTTTGGGACAGGCACAAAACAAATCAAGGGATTTACCGTTCATTTGTTATTCCTCTTTTTAGCTCGCCGGATAATACGCTGAAAGAAGTTGCTAATTTGCTTGGAGAGCACTTAGAGAATGTTTCCAGCTCCCGAAATTATCGGGCGGAATTTAAACGTTTTAAGGCAAGTGCAAAGTGTCACTGTATTCCGTTGTCGGTTGTAGCTCTCTTTCTGTAAAAAACAGGCCCAGAAAACTTGCCAGGGTCAATGGCGGGTGGCGACGCAAACGACCAAGTCGAGTTGGGGGACGTGTTTGGCATGCGTAGTGATAGATGGTGTCGGGAACAGCATCGGAAGGTGCAGCTGTGTAGCTGTCCAGCGAAAGAAAGCAGACAGGCAGACGAAATCCGTTGGCAGCAAAAGCGCCATCGCTATGCAAAAACTTTTTTTTTACTTTAAGTTTTGCGTTTATTGTCCGCATTTATTTTTTAACCAGAGGTACATTACAAAAAGATTATGTTAATTTTAAAAAAACCAGGTGGTCGCGGCTCGCGAGCAGTCTCAATAAGGAGGTAGCGCCATTTTTCAATACGAGCGATAAACGCGCCCTCCTACCCGACTTGGTCGTCTGCGTCGCCGCTCGCCATTGACCCTTGCAAGTTTTTTGGTCCTATTTATTACAGAAAAGGAGCGACGCTTTGTACTTAAGAAAAAACCGACCTGGGAAATACACTGTGGCTACGCACAATTACCAACATTTTGGCGCACTACAACCTCGTCGTCGTCTGCTTCGGGGAAGCACGGCCGCGCGCGACACAGGCACGCGGGGCACAGGAACGTCCGTCGAGCGCCGCCGCCGAGGCAATAAAGCCGTCGTTCCTTTTTCTATGTTGGGATTCGCTCGTCACCACGACACAGCATCCCACATTTGGTGACCCGGAAAACGAACACAGCACGTCGCCATGGCCGACCAGGAGGACCTTCAACAACAGATGAAACTACTCCAGGAGCAGATTCGGACCCAGCAGGAACTGATTCAAAGGCAACAGCAGCAGATTCAGCAACAGCAGCACCAACTCGATGGTCCCGTGCAACAGGACCCTGCTAACGCCAACACACACCGCCCGTACCTACCGGCACCGCAGCAGGCGGCGGAACCCCTGCAGCTGTCATCTCGGACGCTGCTTCACTCGGCCTCTGCCGTGTAGCCGTCAAACTTCCGCCGTTTTGGGTGGACTCGCCTGAGGTATGGTTCACACATGTCGAGGCGCAGTTCTCCCTGGCGCGCATCACCCAAGACCAAACGCGCTACGATTACGTCGTCGCCCACTTGGACAGCCGCTACGCCAACGAGATACGGGATATCCTCGACAATCCACCAGCGGCCAACCTTTATCAACATCTGAAGACTGAACTCACCCGCCGCCTGTCACTATCGGAAGCAGAAAGTCCGCCAACTTATTCAGTCCGCAGAACTCGCCGAGCGCAAACCATCACAGTTCCTCCGCCACATGCGTGCTCTCGCAGGCATTCCCAGAACTAACCTTTACAAGTTTTCGCCTCTTCAGCTTGCTATTAGTGACTGGAACCAACTACCCGAAGTTATTGTCACAATAATAGACCCACAGAAATTTGCCGATAATGTTGCCGTTCATCTCCATCTGTGATAATTTTCTTGTTTTATATTACTAGCGTTCTTTTGTTTTGACACTGTCCTGCCAAATGTCCCCCCTTTGTAATACCCCTCGTGGGTCTTAAGGGGAACCAATAAATGAAATGAAATGAAACACGCAAGTCTACGATTTTTCTTCTGTGGACACTATGGCTCCAACGACTACCACGACACGTCCAGGCCATTCTGCAGGCTCAACCTACGCTACCTCTGGACCAACTTGCCGAAATTGCTGACCGCGTCATCGAGGTCTCTGTACCGTCGCTGTCGCCCACCGTCCACGCCGTCGGTGCACCGCTGGACACCACAGAGCTCGTGCACCGAATCGACGATATCACGCGACAGGTCAGCTCCATTCAACGACGCCTGGATCAAAGTCCTCCGACGCGCCCCCGTTACCGCTCACAGAGCCATGACCGTAACACCGGCCCGTCACAGCCGCCTCGTGACAGTAGCCGATGCTACTACCATCGGCGCTTCGGGGACAGAGCCCGACAATGCCGACCACCCTGCTCCGCCGGACATCAGGGAAACGCCAACGGCAGCGTGTAGACGCGGCTACGAGCTGCCAACCCGCAGGCCGCCGCATCTTCGTCACCGATCAAATCACAAAGCAGCGGTTCCTTGTCGACTGTGTCACTGACATTTGCTGCTATCCTCGTACCCATCTTCAAGGTTCCCATCCACCTACGTCTTTCGAGCTCAGCGCAGCAAGCTGGTCCACCATCAAGACTTACGGCTCGCTCCGTCTGCACGTCCAACTAAAAACCCTACACCTTGACCTCCATTGGAATTTTGTCATCGCCGACGTCTCCGAGCCAATCATCGGCCCAGTCTTTTTGGCACACTACAACCTCCTTCCCGACTGTCGCCACGACCGACTCATTGACGCGACAACGGGATTTTCTTCGCCAGGCCAGCGCACGATCACCCACCAGCCCAGCATTAAAGTGCTCGGTGTGGAAAACCTTTCGCCGTACCACGCCATACTCGCCGAATTTCCCGGTGTAACGCGACCCAGCGGGCTGCCACGGGACGTGCGACACACCACTGTACACCACATCCGAACCACTCCGGGCCCTCCTGTTTTCTGCCGCGCTCGTCGCCTTGCTGCGGACCGCTTGCGCATCGCCAAAGCAGAGTTCGAGTCCATGGTACACGAAGGAATCGTCCGCCGATCCGACAGCCCATGGGCCTCGCCGCTTCACCTTGTCCCGAAGAAGACTGAAGGCTGGCGACCCTGCGGGGATTACCGCGCCCTCAACGCTCGC